ATAAGGTAATCAAAGGTGATATCGTTGTCTTTTTTATTCTTTGACACCGAGCAATGGCAAGAACAAACAGCTATTTCTCGCGAGAAAAAAAAACCCTCCATATCTTCCTTGAGCTTGGCAGATAAGAACGACAGATTCCATATCAGCGCGAGGCGCATCTATTTCTCTTTCTCGAAAGCGTGAAACCCTAAAACCCTTCCCTTGCGGAACGCTGCTTGAATCGGGCCATAAACATCGCTCATCCCACAAACGACAACCCTCAAACAAGGAGGATTCACTTCATCTATAAGGACGAAGGAGCTTTCATTAAGAAATCCTACTACTTTTTACTAAATTCACATGAAGATCCATGCCGCCTCACCCGGAGACCAGCCGGGTGACTTGACAGGATCTTTAAAGGACTCAAGTGGTGGCAGTTTGCTGCATCAACACGCGTGCGAGCCAAACATGCAGCACGTCGACTCCATTCTCATTGCGATACGCAGTTTGCCGTGTCGCGACCGCTCCACCTTTAACTGGCTTGGCGCGCGTGATTTGGCTTCTTTTTGAAGTTGTTCATCTCAATAAAGCGGTTGCTTTCAAAGATGATTGCTTTTTTCGGTAGTGAATAAGTTTGTGTTTGGACGTGCAAAATTCCATTGTTAAATCTCAGTTGAAGGTGCGTTTTCTGTGTCTATTGAGGGTCTTCCAGTCGGCTGTCATCGGTTTCGAAACTTCGCTTTTTCATGTACTTACGTTGTTGTTCCAATTTGCCTCAATGTACCATTGGCGCTCAAACTAACCTTTTTTACCTGCAGTATCACCAGTCGCATTTCGCTGTCCTTTGCAAATTATCGATTGCTAAATTTCATCGTGTTAGACGGTGCAAGTTTGTTCGTTTCCGTCTACAGTATATGTGTACTTACGATATGTGAGTAATATAGATCCGGTGGAGAATTCATCTCAATTCCAGGGGAAAATGGCTGAGAAGGCTGCCGCCACCGCTGCTGAGCATCATGATGATGAGCACTTTGCATCGGGAGAATCTGGCGCCGCTGCTACTTTCCCAAAGCAGTGCTCAGCTCTTCGCAAGAACGAGCATGTCATGATTAAAGGTCGCCCTTGCAAGGTATCATAAAATATATTTCCAAACCTTTGTGTTTCATTCTACTCTTTCTAGTGAGTATTTTTTAAGATTGTCGAAATGAGTACCTCGAAAACTGGTAAACACGGCCACGCCAAGGTACATCTTGTTGCTCTCGACATCTTTACCAACAAGAAACTTGAGGATATCTGCCCATCCACCCACAACATGGACGTTCCTGTAGTCAAGCGCCGTGAATTCATTGTAAGTTGATTGGTTTATAATCTTGTTACATCTTCTGCGAATCGCAGCTACTTGAACTTTAACTTTGTTCATTTTTTTCTTAAATTGAATGCTGTGCAGTGATGGTTGGATAAGTTACGTCTGATCAATGTGATTAGAAACTAGACTGAGCATAGCATGCTAATAATCCTTGCGT